CCATGTCGGGGTGCGCAAGACGGGGGACCCCCCAGCGCGCCGTCACACCTCGAGAAAGGGTGTGAGCTCAAACCTCTCCCCTTCCGGAGACGCCTCGGGCGTGGGCCGAGCGGGGACCCGGTGGGCCTGCGAGAGGCGCTTTGAATTGAATGGACATTTCACTTGAGCGTGTGGGAGGCCCGGGCGTGGCTGGAAACCCGCCTAGATCCCGGCAAGTAGGGCCGGATTCAGCCCGTCAGAGGCCCCAAGCACTGAAAAGATGCTGCTGCCCTCCATATGGAATTCAAAATAGAAACAAAACGACACCCTAAAATCTCTTTTTTTGGTGCCCCGATTTGGTGGTGCCCTAAGCACGTGCTTGGCCTGCCTATTGGGTAATCCAGCCCTGATGCGTTCGCCCGCGATAGCGCGCCGCGGAGATGCCAGCCGGGCCACAGGCCGGGCCACGTCTGCCCGGGTCTCCCAGGGGCACCGAGCCACGGCTCAGGAACGCCACACCCAGCAATGCTGCCGGCACGCACCAGCTTTTCCCAGGCCTCTCCCTTGGCACATTTGGGGCCCGCTTCGGTGCCCGCGGAGAACAGCGGTTGCAACAGTGGTTGGTCCGTTCACCGTGGAATTCAGTAACGCCCCCCCGGCGAAGCGGATGCAGACGGGGCGACCCGGGGCCTTCCCCTGCTGGGCCCCGCGCCCCCACCGGTTCCGATCTCCGTGCCTAACGGTAACGGTTTCGGAAAGCCGCGTCGGTCTACAACCGGCTGCAGCGTGGGAAGGGGCGTCCCGGGAGTAGCTGTACGGCCGCGCTCCTTCGCAAGCCCGGCGGGCTCGGCTTTCGCAGCGCGGTTCCGACACGTCTCACGCCATCGTGCCAAGCGCGGCGTGGGGGGGGGATGACTGTATCTGTACAAGCTCTGGCATATGCCTGGAATCCGAGTCCCATCCGGGCAATGTAGCCAAGCCTGTTCTCCCTACTGCAGGAATCCGGGTGCGTTGCCGTGACAGCCTTAGGAGAGTGTGCCTCAGTTTCCCTTTCCCCTACAGCGCGTGATTTCTGGAATGACCTTTTCTCCCGGGGAGAGCTGTTCTCCCTCCTCCCTGCCCTGTGGGTGCAGCCTGGATCTCCCTTGCTCAGCCGACTCCGTGGGCGGGCTGGGTGCGCCCTCTCGGCTCCCAGTGGCTGGGGGAAGGAGGCCCCGCGCAGAGGCCTCATCTTTTCAGCGTTGTTGGAGTCTTGCCTGCTCCTGGCTCCTGGCTGGTTTCACCCTCCCGCTCCCCCCATCGGGGCCAGCCGCCCCCCC